AAGAGAGGGAGACACAGAATCAGAAACAGGCTCCAGGCTCTGAGCCATCAGCCCAGAGCCCGATGCGGGGCTCGAACTCACGGACGGCGAGATCGTGACCTGGCTGAAGTCGGACGCCCAACCGACTGCGCCACCCAGGCGCCCCAAAATTAAATTGTTTTTGAAAACAATTTTTACTTGCATCACATTTTTGAAGCAGTGAAAGCCACATTAATAAAAGTTTCCAAGGTCTGGGAACCTATTTTTTTTTTAATGTTTATTTATTTATTTATTTTGAGAGAGAGAGAGAGAGAGAGAGAGAGAGAGAGAGGGAGAGAGCAGGAGAGGGGCAAAGAGAGAGGGAGAGAGAGACAAGATCCCAAGCAGGTTCGGCACTACCAGTGCAGAGCCCAGTGTGGGGCTCAAACTCACAAACCGTGATATCATGACCTGAGCAGAAATCAAGAGTTGGATCCTTCACTGAATGAGCCATGCAGGTGTCCCTGGGAACCTGTTTTTATCTATGGTTAAGATACAGTATTTGTCGGAAGTATAATTTTGCTTTTAAATGGTGGGGGTGAAAGGTAGTGCTAAACAAGTTCAAACGTGTTTGGAAGTGATTTACACTTTTAAGTTGGTCGAGCAGGCATGTTCCGTACACAGTTTTATTTTCACTCATCTCTAGAAGGTAGTAGAATAGGCATAGACGTGTTTGGTCTCATTAGAGCCGTGGTGGGAAGTCCCCTCACTTTGCTCTGCGGGATAACACTCCTTCTTCCTTCTTCCTCCTGTCTCAAATGCTTCTGTTAGGGCTTTGTTACCTTGTAGTCCAGAGTCCTAACCTTCAGAGCTTCCTTTAAAATAATTCCGCTGGAATTAATCATGGATACTTAGTGCAAAATTCCTATGAGAATAGAAGGAATGGGCTATTTTATTTATTTATTTATTTATTTATTTATTTAATATAATTTATTGTCAAATTGGCTTCCATACAACACCCAATGTTCATCCCAACAAGTGCCCTCCTCAATGCCCATCCCCCACTTTCAAGTCCTTCTTTGGTATGGTGTTGCTGGCTAGATGCTAAAAATGGTAATTCTGGGTAGCCAGGGGCTGCAGCTTTAGGCACCTGCCTGGTCTCCCAGTGATTTCCTGTCACTTGTTTAGCAAATCCTTTTATTAGAGTTAATACAAAGCACATGTGACATGTGTCTAGTTAATACACAAGCACTGCTTACCTGAATTTTGATCAATATCAAATTAATTTTTCTTATTTTTTATTTTTATTTTTTAAGTAGGCTTCACACCCAGTGCCAAGCCCAACATAGGGCTTGAACTCATGATCTCAGGATCAAGACCTGAACTGAGCTAAGAGTCAGATGCTCAATCGACTGAGCCACCCAGGCGCCCCTCATTTTCTTATGATACACCCTCAAAAACATTTGCAAATCTCCCCCTCCCCAAATTACCAATGGTTTCTTCACTCACATTGCAGAAAGGGAACTTTTATATTTCAGTCCAAAATCTGTACACACCCCATTTCGTTCACTGGGCCCAGTGAGTTCAGAACCAACCGGTTAGTTCCAGATAAAAACAGTCACGCTAACTGTTTATAGACATATTTTTAATGTTTTACTTTAAAACAAATGATCCCAGTAAAAGAGAGCAAAGGAAATTACATTTCAGTGATAGCTTGAGATGGGTATGATGTTCCTGATTTATTTGTTTTCAGGAACAGACGACTGTATTGTCATACTTGACTTTTAGAACTGCTCACTTAAAATGCACATAATTATATTAAGTTTCTCTTACAAAAACACAACCATGTCATTTAAGGCAAAAAATATCAGCTTCTGGGGAGATACATTAATGTTTATGACATTTTCTCAGTCTGGTTGAATGAAGTGATCCGTTAATTTAGTTGCTCAGATTTCATCCTTTCTTGTAGTTTTGCTTTGCAAATGGGCATGAGAATTAGTCACTTTGTGCCTGATTTCCTCCTATTAGACTTGTTTCACCTGCAAATTATGAACTTTCAGAATCACTGAGTCAATGGGAGGTGAGAAAGGCACCTGGTTTGAACAGGAGATAAAGACTTAAAAACTCAATAAAGTGTCTTACTTAAAACAAAACTTGCAACCTACAGATATTAATTTAGTTGAACAAAATGCAAACATTTAGACCAGACACAGCAATATTTTTAGTCAACCTCATAGAAGGGATGTTTGCTAGTGCGTGTTAGCTTCATCAACCCTACATATTGAAGAAGGCAGACAAACTTCTGAGCATGTGACTGCTCAGTGCTCAGCTAAATTGTGCTTCAAGACACCATTTGGCATGGACCAATGGGACTTTGCTAAGTGTAAATGGGAGACCCCTCTCAACTCCGTCGAGAGTAGCACAACAGACAAAACCCTACAGTTTGCATATAGCACGACTATCTCTTAACATCCAACAGTTTTTGTGCTAGAGTAAGATAGACACAAAATGGTCATGGCTTCAATGTATAAAAGTTTTTCACATCATGGTTTATCACATTTTGCTACGATTAAGACCTCAGTGATGCATTTAGGGTTTGTTTCTGAATCTTCAGTCTTCAGCAATGCTGGATGAATACTGTGTGTGAAGCCTAAAGAGGCCTAAGGAGGGGTCCCCAATACATTCAGAATTCCTGCTGCCAGTGGGGTTCGACCCAGGACAGAGTATGTCCAGGAATCAGTGCTACCTGAAAGTTGCTGCCTCCCTCCTCTTCCTCGACTGATATTTGGAGAGAGCCTGCAGAGTGCATGGCAGGTGTCTGGCTTTAGGTCAGAGGAATGGTGTGTGTGTGTGTGTGTGTGTGTGTGTGTGCACGCGCGCGTGTGTGTCCAACCTCTTTGGGAGAGTGTGTCGCAACTTCAGGTTGAGGAGAGACATAGTAGGTGAAAAACTTCATTTAATAATTTACTAAAATTCTGTGCTTCAAAAATGAAAATAATTGCTTTAAAAGCTTGATAAAATCTTTTTCAACTGGAGTGTAGAATTGAGACCCTAACTTCTGTATGTCTCCAGCAGCCAAGAAGATTCTGAATGATACACTCCAGGGGAGGATGCTAGAATCCAGGTGGGTTGAGAAGAAAAAGCTTTTAAAATTTCAGTGCTTATCAAAAGGGGCAAGGGTTTTAAAAGGTTGAGAAGCCTATTTGAGGAAGAGCAGAGAAGTCGCTTACTTGGGGATGGAGACTGGGTAAGGCCTGGTGAAGTTCAGGAGCAAAATAGTGGCAGGGAATTGGTAAGTTATTGGAGAGGAAGAGTAGGAGAGTCAGGGGTGGAGAAAGCCAGTTGGGGAAGACAGTTGGGAAGGACTGGTGGATTTCAGGGCCTCCTCCTGCCTTTGGACAGCCAGTGCTATCCCTGCTTTGTCTTCCTGGCTGATGAAAGTTTTTTGGAGGAGCATTATCTGCCAAGGAAAAAAACTCTTCCTTTCATAAGTCCTTCTGTGGCTGGAGTTTAACTGAACTGAAGTGCTCTCTGGCTTCTCCTTGCTTTTTTTAATGCCATTACCTTGGCTGAAGTTCTGAGACAGCTAGAGAGGTTTCCAACAAGCAGTCAGCGTGGCTTGCTTTTCTCTTAAATGCATCTTTCACTTTGTTTCTCTTGGGTCCTTGCTGCTGCGGCTATATGATTAAGTGTTTTGATTTGCAGACCCAGCCAGGAGTACCTGGCTTCTAACTATAAATGTATATACCAGAAACGGAACCAATAATTATAGATTTGGGGCAACATTCTTGGGGGAGAATAGAAAATGTTTGCTACAGTATAAAAAGTAAAGGAAGTTTAGTTATAGCCTTCCGTATGCAAAATGTATTACATAATAGCAAAAAACATTCAGGGCGTATTAAAAAATAAATACCTTGCAAAATTCTCTGTTTATATATAAGACGAAGGGATGTTTAGGTAGTTGAGATTCCCTAGTAATATTCATTTTCTAAAAAGATCAAGTTCTTCTGTTTTGGTTTTTTCTCCCTCTCTTTACCCTCTGAGGGTGAGGCTATTTTCATTAACTTCACCCACTTCCTGGTGTTGTGTCTGGATTCTTTTCAAGCCTTTCCCGTTTCAGTCTCACTCCAATGTCTAATTCCCCAGGATCCTGCCTGTCAATTCGGCGGGAATGGTTTCTGACACTACAGCAAGCCGGGGGTGGCGCCATTGCAGAGAGATCAGCCCAGCCGCACTGGTCCTTCTACTCATCCGTATTGTATTCGCTTGTGTAGAAGTCAACCACTTATAAAGGTGATTTAGCCATCGAGGAATACCTTCCCATGAACTCACATGTATCAAATAGTCTATTTGCCCCACTGGCCCTGAATTTCATTATTTGCACACTTTCTAACTGAAGAACATTCTCGTCCTAAAGAACAACATGAAAATGATGTGCAAAATTGCTTGCCACAGCGTTAAATCACCAAAAGCACACAGATTGACATTCAAATTACATTAATAATAAAATGACTGGATAGGAATGGGTTGGTAAATATATCTTGAAATAAGCAGCCGTTTCTATTATTATTCCCAAGTTCTGCTTTCCTTGATACCTTGTTAGCAGCGGTTGATGGTAGCCATTGTGTTTACATATACATTATGGCCTAATTTTGAAAATGTATTTTGTATTTAATCACAAAGCAGAAACGCCTGAAATTTGAAGTTGTTTACTCCCATAATTTTAAAACACAGAGTCAAATCTTCTAAATGACCTAATCTTGACATTGTCACACACCCCAAAGCATTAGCAGTGTTTGGTTTCTCAGGATTTTTAACTCAAGGTACATTACTAAATGAGTGGGTTAATGTTGATGTACCTTGGAATTTCAGCCATCCCTAACATGCATTTTCATGCAATTAAAAGATAACGGGCTTATAAACTTTCTTTCGTGTTCTTCCTGATTCTTGCAATTTCAACTTTTTAGAAGGGCTTTCGAAATAGTTCATGCAATGATATGTCTGGCTAAAGGAACTGCTATGCTAGAAGGAAAACGAAGAACTTATTTCAGTTTGACATGAGGCAAGCTGAGGGCTTCTGTACTTTCTCCTGCCTTACAAATGCTCTGAGATGATCGTGACCTTCCAGTCCTTAGAGAGTCTGACGCAAAAGCAGTTTCCCTGGCAGGCTGCGGCACAGCGTCAAACGTGTCTGTCTCAGTCTCTTCAGGACCCACCTCTTCATCAGTTATAAACAATTTGGATTCCCTCCATTTGGGGTAAAAATCCTGGCTGCCTCTGGAGCCACTTGACTCACTTCCAGAAAGCTGTATATTCAGTTCCTCCGTTGACCTGATCAGGTTTTGCACTGACAGGGATTTGCCCAAGTCCTTGGGCACCACGGGGTGGACAGATAACAGAGTTTCTCCTCCCATATCAAAGCTTTTCCTTAGAGAACGGTCCTTGGTCAGATTTGACTGTGCAACCTGAACATTTTCCTTGGAGGCAACAAGGCAGGTGGTGACATCAGAAATGCTTTCCTGTAAGCCTGCGGGGTTTGGGTGCAGGGTTTCTGGCCTGGGTAGATGCTTGATGGCTGGGAGAGGAGGCGGGATCTGTAAAGTTGTTGGGGCTGCTGGCTTGGGTGCCACATTTATTTGGTTTGCAATGTTGTTGGCGGCTGCCACTGCAGAGCCATCACTTTGACTCATTGGCACCTGTGTTGCTTGACTGTGCATAGTAGGGCTAAGCGCATAGAAAGTCTGAGCGCTGAACTCATTTGGCGTCAGAATGAACTGCAGGCCTCGAGAGATGTTGGCACTAGCTGATCTGGATAAGCAGCCACTGTTCTGTGCGGAACTGGACAGGTCTTTGCTATCCACAGGGCTTTGATAGTCAGATGTCTGTTCACATTCAAAAGGTGGGATCTGGAATGAGGCCAAAGTGAGGGCAGAGGCAGAACCTTTCCGGAGGACCTGTTGATATATATCTAGTAGGCAGTCCAGCTTGGACTCGATGGACTGCACCTAAAAATGGGGAAAATGGTTACATATGAGTATAACCTGTCATAAGAATGGGCTTCATTTCTAGAATTAAAAAGTGCAGTCAGGGTGTTTCAATACAGTTAAATATTGAGTATAATGTACGTTAGCAGTGGTGGGAGCAAGGGATGATTTCAGAGGAGAGGTATGATTTGGCTTCTACATAATCTCTACCAAGACCCACCCCCTTAACTCTTTAAAATGGACAACTGATGTTCTCAAAAAACATATAAGCACTGTAAGAAAGCAACTTCAAGACTCCCAGCCCAATCAAGCTGCCTTTGGCTAAGCCTCCTCCAAGAAATCATTCTGGGACTCTACTGCAGTCTGGTCAGGAACTTCTATAATGAAAGCGAGACCTTAAATATCAATGTAGGTGATTCCAAATTTAAAAATAAAGGTACCAGGGGGCAAAGCATAAGAGACTCTTAAATATAGAGAACAAACAGAGGGTTGCTGGAGGGGTTGTGGGAGGGGGATGGGCTAAATGGGTAAGGGGCATTAAGGAATCTACCCCTCAAGTCATTGTTGCACTATATGCTAACTAACTTGGATGTAAATTAAAATACATAAATAAATAAAAATAAAGGGATAAAATGCTTCAGAATTAATACTTGAAATATTTTTGATTAGACTGGGGAGCAGTTTGATTTCTGGACAGTTGTCTTTTTTTAAAGTTTTTAATTTTCATTCCAGTATAGTTAAGATACAGTGTTATATTAGTTTTAAGTGAACAATGTAGTGATTCTGCAATTCCATACATTACTCAGTGCTCATCATAAGTGTACTCTTTAATCCCCATCATCTATTTCACCCCTCCCCCTCCCCCAACCCCCTGCAGGCCACCATAAATAACCATCAGTTTGTTCTCTATAGTTAGTTAAGAGTCTGTTTCTTGGTTTGGACGATTATCTTTGTATGAGAAGATACAGCTTCAGGGTTAGCAACTTTCAATGTACCATGATAGTTACAATGAGGTTTTGTTCTGTTTTTTAAAGAGTGAAAAAGATAACCACCAAAACACAAATGAAAAATAGATCTTTGTTATTTTACTGTTGAAAATCTATAGTTGCCTCAAGTATTAATTGATGAGATGAAATTTTTTATTCCTTATGTGGAAATCCAAGTGTTTTAGAGAACACTGTCTATGCACAAAAAATGTAATTTCATTCACTCTTTCTTGGTTTTATGTCTTTAAAATACATTATTCACTAAAATACATCTAATTGCCAACATTTTGATTAAAAATATTCTGACTTAAAAGTTAACCAGTGTAGTTGAACCGTACCTGTTTTTCAACCTTGACCACACGGCCGAGCATACTGAGATCATCAGTGGTCTCATGTTCTGCTGTTATTTTCTCTCGGCTCTTTTTATCTGATGTGATTTGCCCTTTTCCAAGAATTTGGTCGACACTATCAAGGAAAGAGGAGATCTGATTATAAATGCTGAAGGTGGAGATTGCCCTAGGCCAGAATGAAGTGTTTTGAAAAGAAAAATTAAAGACGATTATCTTTAATTTATGTAAGATGAAATAAAAATGATCTTGTTCCAGTTGATGTGCTTATTTTCTTAACATGAGAATTACACATGAGATTAATTTTTTCATTACTCCGGTCGGTGATGAAGTCACTTATGGGCTATCTTCTGGAGGCAAATTGTCCTAAACTACAAGATAACTTGTCTGTTTCCATCTCTGACCAGGCATTTCCTGAATTTGCTGAAAAAATGACAAAATCATAATTATGATTATTTCATGTTAATAGAACAGATTATTTAGTACATCTTATATGTGAGAGATAGGCAGATAAGAAAGTGATCACCTCCATCTTTTGGAATTCTTGTTGGGGAATATACACTGCATGAGCTGGAAATGTAAAGATTAGTTCTACAAATTCTGTAGCATTTCAACTTTATAAAAATGCTTGGAGCCACAGATAGTACTATTAAAGGACTTGGAAGACCATGGCCACACAGGCAGAGATTGTAACATGACTACAGAATGAATTAAAACAATTTCCAAGGAGACTTGATCAACTGAAATGGGGATTACTGTCTTCTTTTGTGTGTGTGTTAGAACTGAATTATCAGGAGTACTGACTCAACATTCCCGTTTGCTTTGTCTGCCTAGAAATACAGGCAGTGCCTACCTTCTGTCATATCTAATCTATTATACTGCAAGCTCTGCAAGGACTAAGTCATTATTTTATTAATCTCTGAATGTCCATAGTGCCTGGCACACATTCAGGACTCAATAATTGTCTGCTGGATGAATGAATGAGTGAATGAATGAATGAACAGATTATGATTCCTATAATTGATGAACAGGCGTTTTAGTAAGGGTGCATTATATCCCACTGGGCTAAGTGTGCTGTGGGATAAAAACAAATGTTTAAGACTCTCTCCTTGTGTTTTAAGAACTCTTCAAACACAAACACCAGTAATTTGTGCCTGAGAGTGAAGCAAGACTCTTAAAAAACTGAGTTGACTGAACATTCTGGCTTCAAGATAACACAATCAAATGTGGTTGGAGGAACATATTGAACTCATTTCTTTTAATCACTCACTAAGATGCTCACCGGAGAGATAGTGTGTACCTAGCACTGTACAGGACACTAAAGAAGAGAAAGGCCCAGTCTTAGTCATGAACAAGAGGAATAAACTTGCCTCCAGGAAACAACATGGGAACCAACCCCTTGTTTTTCAGTCCCAATTCTCTGGCACAGTATACCGAGATTATGAGTGTTTCTATGCTCTGTAGTAGTTCTAAATGCTGTAGGAGGTCAGAGAAGGGAAAGGTCTGGTTTTGTGGGCCAGATAGTCGGGTCAAGTTTAATGAAGGAGAAAGACTACTTATTCTTGAAGGATGGTTAGGATTTAGAGAATAACAAAACAACAATAGCGGCAATTATTCAAATGACATCAGCAACAGCCATTAACATTTATTGAGCATTTAGTTAATGTGTATTAATTCATTCAATCCTCATGACAACCCTATGAAGCAAGCACTAACATGAGTCCCATTTGTACAGATGAGGAAACTGAGATACTGTATACTGTCGTTGGAGGCTTTTATTGCCTGATTTACAGCCTTCAATAAAAATCTATGTTAAAAGAAAAGGTGCAGTTATCCATGAAAATGAATTAGAAATATGAGATTCAAGAGTTTTCTCTACAAAAAGTTCTTCTCAGATAGTTTTTATCCCTATTCCTTCACAACAAATCTCATTTCTATTGCTTACCGTGTTTGGAGACTTTTAATTCTACACAACATGTCTAGATGACCAGCAGAATATTGTTCAATGACATCTTTTACATCATATGGGCGTAATGTTTCCTTAAACTTCCGTTTTGCAACATGAAATTTCATAATCCTGTAAAAGCAACATATTCCATATTAATCTCCATAACTTTGCTAAAAGAAGTTACCCAAATAGCTTGCTAGTAAACATGAGAAACTCTGGGGAAAAAAAAGTCATGCATCAAATTATTTTAGGCTCCTCCAGAAATGCAACATAAAAGTCCAAGATTATAGTAGGCAATTTAAGAATATCTCATGGGATGCACACATTGAGAGTAGAAAAACACACAAAAAGAGACTTAATACTAAGTGTTATACCTTTTCAGTGTTCACTGAAACCTCAAATTAAAATCAAAGTTAAAATGCAATCCTGCCTTTCCTATGTGACCCTCGGAAGTCTAAGAAATAACACACTGCATTCCTTAAAAAATATAAAGTTGTTAAAATGGTCTTTTGTGTACCTATATGCAATTTCAGATGCAGATGCGTCTGCAAAACTCTCTTATTCTCTCTAGAGAAATGTACCTTTGTATAGACATTTTTGAAAATTCTGTTTCATAAATTACTTTTGCAGAATGCTGCTCCATTAGGCAGCCACGTTCCTTTTGTTTCAGACATAACACACATCCACTGAGCTTGGAGATCTAAGATTTCAGAACCAGAGATCTCTTTTATTACAGTGCTTCCCCCAACATGGACCTTTGTTTTAAAACAATGTTTCATCAATAAATCCCATGATGCCATAATAGCCAAGTTGCCTAAGATAACCAGTTACTGCAATAACTTGATATTATTCCCAAAGAAATCAAAGAAGCATAACATTTTAATGAGTCTGTGCAGCCTTATTGCAGGTAAATGTTAAGCCTGCCAGTGTTTTTTCAACCATTAAATGGCTCATAGACTCCCGTTATCACACTCATGGATCCCAGGCTGGGAATTAGTCAATTAGGCTCTGCAAACCAAAATTTGTTGTCCCCCGGTGGAAAGTGGGAAGATTGGGAATAAATGTAGGATTTAAACAGAAAATACTCATTACCTACCCTGATAGCTGATTGCAAGGAATCCAAATTGTTTTACTGGTTAAAAAGCCCCAACTCTTTCTTGTAATTGTATTATTAACTTCAAATTAATTGCACACTAATTATTCTGGAATCATTTATCCATAATATTCTTTCTCCCTCTCTCTACCACATTTTCTCCAACAAGCTCTTTTTTATTCAGGGTTTTTTGGTCTGTTTTTATTTGCAAAAATATGTAAGCAAAGTTATTCACAGGAAAGTAAAGGAAATATTTTTTGTTTTCATTTTTTAACTTTTGTTTATTTTTTTAAATGTTTATTTTTGAGGGAGAGAGAGACAGAGCGTGAGTGGGGGAGGGGCAGAGAGAGAGGAGGACACAGAATCCCAAGCAGGCTCCAGGCTCTGAGCTGTCAGCACAGGGCCTGAGGTGTGGCTTGAACTCACAAGCTGTGAGATCATGACCTGAGCCGAAGATGGATGCTTAACCGGCTGGGCCACCCAGATGGCCCAAGGAAATCTTTTTTAATTTAACCTCTTAGTATTTAGATTTAGTTCTTTTTTTTTTTTTTTTAACCAAATTTGGTTGGGGTTCAGTCTCCTATATTAAAAAATGGAGAAAAAATAGTGAAATATGTACTCTCTGAAATTTTTGGCCGTAATTATTTTTAAAATACCTGTTTCCCCACACTAAATTGTCAGCTACATGAAAGCAGGGCTGGGTCTCTTTTACACAATGGTCAGTGGTCAATAAGTGTTAGCTGTTGTTACCACCAGTACTTCTACTATGACTGTTACTACTACCATTTTTCTTCAACATTGTGTTCTCAGAGCTTTGCACAGCTCCTGATACACAGTAGAAAGAAATATTTGTTGAATAAGAGAAGAAAGGAAAGAAAGAGAAAAAGAAAATATCTGTGAATCTGGCTAATATTAAGGATTAATATTAAGGATAAAACTGAAAGAAAAGCTAAGCCAAAGCCCAGACACTTCTTTACTTAATGTCAGAGTAGCTAATGGCACCTGGGTGGGTGGGAAGAAGGGAAAAATCATTCTTACACAACCTAGGTGGTTTTTAGGTGTTGTTGTTTGTGTTTTCAATAACAATACCACTTGTTATGTGAAGTACTTTAGATGTCTTGTCTTCAAGAGCACTTAAGATATTTTTATTTCCCTGGGAATGCAAGCTGGTGCAGCCACTCTGGAAAACAGTATGGAGGTTCCTCAAAAAGGTAACAATAGAACTACCCTATGACCCAGCAATTGCACTACTAGGTATTTATCCAAGGGATACAGGCGTGCTGTTTTGAAGGGACACAGGCACCCCAGTGTTTATAGTAGCACCATCAACAATAGCCAAAGTATGGACAGAGCCCAAATGTCCATCGATGGATGAATGGATAAAGAAGATGTGGTATATATATAAAATGGAGTATTACTCAGCAATCAAAAAGAATGAAATCTTGCCATTTGCAGCTATGTGGATGGAACTGGAGGGTATCATGCTAAGTGAAATTAGTCAGTATGAGAAAGACAAATATCATATGACTTCACTCATATGAGGACTTTAAGAGACAAAACAGATGAACATAAGGGAAGGGAAACAAAAATAATATAAAAACAGGGAGGGAGGGGGGCAAAACATAAGAGACTCATAAATATGGAGAATAAACAGGGTTACTGGAGGGATTGTGGGAGGGGGATGGGCTAAATGGGTAAGGGGCACTGAGGAATCTACTCCTGAAATCATTGTTGCACTATATGCTAACTAATTTGGATGTAAATTTTAAAAAATAAAATTAAAAAAAAAGATATTTTTATTTAATTTCCCTGGGTGCCTGGGTGGCTCAGTTGGTTAAGCCTCTGACTCTTGACTTTGGCTCAGGTCATGATCTCACAGCTTCGTGGGTTCCAGCCCTGCATCAGGTTCTTTGCTGACAGCATTGAGCCTGCTTGGGATTCCCTCTCTCTCTCTCTCTCTCTCTGCCCCTCTACTGCTCTCTCTTTGTCTCTCAGAAATAAATAAATAAACATTAAAAAAATAAAAAGAAAAGATATTCTTATTTCCCTTTCGTATTTAGGGAAACTGAGATTCAAAGACTTGTCCCTACACAAGCAACCAGTATGAGGCAAAGCCAGGATTCCACCCAGAGCTGTCTGTTCTCACCTTTATATCACCTCCTGGTTTCCCATGGCATAAATTCTGGAGATGTTGAAAAGGTTGGCTGGGATCTTTGGCAATTTTTCTTGGCTATAGTGGTAGAAACCACCCTACACGCAGAGGGACAAGCTTTGGCATGAGTTAGTGTGTTCCCACTGACTGTAGCTCAGGCATTTGTGGCCTGTGGCATGGCTGCCCAGCGGTGGACCCACATGTCTCCAAACTGAATGATCTGTTTTGTCCTAATGGGGGCCTGCCCTTGTTTTTTGTAGGGAGTTGTGTGAATTCTCTATGGTAATTTGTCTCAGAGTTGAATGTTGCTTTTCTCTTTACCTTTCACAAATATTTTAACAGAAGAACAATTTGAAAGCATTCAACAGACAGTGTTACACTCTAGCCCTTAGTCATATTTTAAGCAGATCATAGATCATTTTATTTACATAATTTACCATTTATAAGCTAGCCAGATTAAAAGAAAATTCATTGTTAATAATTTTGATCAATATTTATAATTTGGATTTGTACTATTTGCCCATTTCCGTGGTATAAATACTCCTACCATACTTCATTTCGAGCTATCAATGTGACATCATTTGAATAAGAAATTGGGAAGAGATGTACAATATTATATCATTAATCGTATTTACACCACAGAGACACAATAGATGTGTATAACTCAAGAACAGAGAGAGTAATATGTTGTAAAATGATTAGGAAGTAGTGAGTGTTGAATATGTATTGCTTTTGTTTTTAATATAATTTATTTTATTGTGAGTTTATACAATTTACTTTTTCATAATGACTGTATTTAACAACCAGCAAAATTCCTAAAAATGTAACAATCAGCTCCTGAAAGTCAGTACAAGCTGGCTCCAGTCCATCCCTGCATATATCCCTCCTTTTCAAATAATTGAAATAATATTAATCCAATTTTTAATTCCTAAACATGAAACTAGGCAAATCTGTAAGTAAAGCATTGGAGGGAAAGCAATTCCCCCAAGGAATGATACAATGTGTAGCCTATTAAGAACTTTAACATTGACTCAGCTTTGCATAAGCATCATGTGGCCCTACTGAAACACTACAGAAGACAATCAACCTCCCGTCTAGGACTGCTAAGCATTTACTAGGGCATCAGTGAGTGTGACAAAACCATTGTACCTATTAAGGATTAGGTTTTCTATTATAGAAACAAATAGATTTTAACAATTTTAATTAATTAATTAATTAATTAATTTTTATTTTAGAGAGAGAGAGACCACATGTGCAAGGGAGAGGGCCAGAGGGGGAGAGAGAGAGAATCACAAGCAGGCTCTACATTCAGCATGGAGCTTGACATGGGGCTCCATGTGGGGCTCCATGTGGGGCTTGATCCCATGAGCTTGGGACCATAACCTGAGCCTAAATCAAGAGTCAGATGCTCAACCAAGTCACACAGGTGCCCCTATTTTATTTTATTTTTTAAGTAATCTATACACCCAACATGGGGCTCAAACCCACAACCCTGAGATCAAGAGTCACATGCTCCACTGATTGAGCCAGCTGTGCACCCCTGGACAACAAATAGATTTTCTTAACCATCTTTGTTGTAGGTTGAAAGTGAAAACATTGAAGAGGTCTAAGGTGAGATATGAAAATTCAAAATCGGGCAATATGTTTTATAAATGTGGAGGGAATGTTTAATAGCATACATATTTTGGAAACCAGTAATTTATATGAAGGATGATGACATTCATTTTGCCTTTGTTAAGGACAGACCAAGTATGTACTAATAGCTCCCAAAGCTGTCCCCTCCTTTTGATTTGCAATACTGTAACCTTGAAAGAATAAATCTTTCACAGTGAAAGTAAGAACATCTTTCCCCCTTCCTAAGATCCTTCATTGGTTTTCATGGCC